TTTTTTATAAATAATTTTTAGATATAATAAGTAAATATTTAAAATTATCGTAGGTAATTAATAACAAAAAGAAACTAATATTTTTATATGAATAGGTTTTGTTTTTTTCTATTACCATTTTTTTTCTTTTTTTTTCAAATAACAAGAAAATTTTCATTAAAGAAATTACAAAAAATCAATTTATTTAATATTAGAAGTATGAGTTATTTGACTAATGTAAAAAAAAATATCATCATTTTTATGTGATTTTAAGTGGATCAATGAATATCATATTAGAGATTAATAGTGAGTTTTAAGATATTTACATAACATTTTAAATATTAATAGAACAATTTCTAAAAATTTTGTGTTTAAATAATTAATTCAAATAAATTTTATCAAATGGTAAAAATATATCTACACTTTAAAACGTGGATCAAAATTTAATTTATCCTTTAAATAAAATTTCTTTTGATCATTCTCTTTCTTAAAGGTTCCAAGTGAATTTCTCGAAATATTATTCAAGTTGATGCTTATCGCTGTGCCTTGACCGGTCCAGATGGTGAAGAAAAATATTAAATTATTTTGTTTTGTTTTTTTGGCTAAAAGTTGGAATTAAGCTGTTTTGGTGCATGAGGTAATTTTTAATGTACAATCGAATTTGTGAAACTGAAAATTATCCCTTATTAAATTTGATCCAACTAAATCTTACTGAACAAAATCTTCCAAATATACTGTTAACTATAAATTTGATCCAACTAAACCTTACTGAACAAAATATTGCAAATATACTGTTAACTATAAAATTACATGTGCAAAGCGTTGGGCCCTTAAGGACAGCAAAGCACCATATAAATTTCTCGTGGGGTTATAATATTATACCATTACCAGACCGCATAACACCATGTCAATGAACTAGGTTATGTGCAAATTAAAAAATGACAAACTAATTAAGCAAGATATCAATCACAGGTCAAATATAGTTACTTTTCCCTAAAGTAATTGACTAAATTATTCAGATGAATACTCTGTCCAGGTCGTATCTCAAAAATTATTATTTGTGCCATTAATTATATATAGTAGTACTATATCTAATACTCTTCTTAAAATAAATAGTCTATCTCAATATAATATCTATACAGGCTTTAGAGGTAGTCAATCATTTTGTCATATTTTATTAAACAAAAAAAGCTTTAAGTATATTTTTCGATGAAAGTGAAATTGCATTGAAATGTAAGAGTAAATGCTAAATTTAATTAAACTAGATTTTGACCCGTATAACTGTCCGGATGTTTGATACATTTATATATTTATAGATTTATTTATATATATATATATATTAACATTAATCATATGTTTAAATATTTATATAACCGTCATATGTATTTGTCATCTCTTATTATATATACTTATTTGATTAATTTACATTTTTTAATAAGAAAATCAATATATGGATGAAACAATATATTTTAAAAACACAGTTGTATATAATGTATGCTAAATTCTTACCATACTTAAGAGCTTTAGAATAATTTTGAAATTTTTAATGTTTATTCATTTTAGATAATATATTATTATATATATAAAATTTTAAGATAATGTTAATTTATATAAATGTATTATATAGCTTAGTTTTTTAACCCGTTTTTGTCAACATACTATATTATTTAAGATAAATATTTATATTAACATAAAATTTATTAATATATCAAGTTAAGATATTTTTATCCTATTTAATTCAGTATAATAGTTATTTTAATATGATAATTTATGATTATTAAATAAATAAAATATAAAGAAAATTTTGATTTTGATTTTTCATTTTATAAAGAATAACTAACTATATTTTAATGTATAATAATATTCTAAAATTATTGAAAATATTTACATAAGATTTTTAAAACTGAGATCTTGTTAAAATATTTTTAACAAAATTTGTTAGAATTTTTTAAAAATATAAAATTATATTTAGAATGAAAAGATATAAAAAAAAATATTATGATTAAAGTAATTACACATTTTTTATATTATTAGTATTTAAAAAATACATTTATGCATGTCTCTAAGGAGGTGAAATTAAAAAAAAAAAATCACACATGAAATGAAGTTTTGATTTCTATTTTTATATAATAGATTAGATTTTGACATGCGCTTTCAAAGCGCGGGATTATTTTCGAAACTAACCCAATTTGCATATTTGAATATGTATCTACATTTAAATGTTACATATGACCGTTATATTCAGTGTTTTGAAACACAATCCGGATCCGTGGTTAAACCGACATAACGGATAATGTTATATGTAACCAGTTTGATTTTTTTATTCATAAAGATCATTATTTAAAATTCTATAAAAGTCACAGAAAACCCGCTAAAACTTGGGACTCGGCTAGCGGTTCAAAGCGCATGATTATTTCAAAACAAATCAAATTTATATGATATAAATTTGTATTTTTATTATGTATCTACATTTAAATGTTACACATGAAGCGTTATATTCAGTGTTCTACAACACAACCCAGCCCGGATCCGTGGTTAAACCGACAAACTCAATGACTTTATATGTAACCCGGTTTGTTTGTTTTAAAAGCTGATTATTTTAAAATTATATAAAACCTGCAAAAATCTGGGACTCGGCTACGATTCAAAGCGCGGGAATATTTCCTAAACAAACCAAATTTATATGATATAAATTTGTATTTTTGATTATGTATTTACATTTAATTGTTAAACATGAAGTGTTATTTTTTTTTAACACTAGGTTGTTTATTGACATGAATTTGGTACAAATGAATCAAAATAAAAAGAGATGTCAGTAGACACCATTCAAAAGTTGAAATAAAACAATTCTCACCAACTCCTTATTGCTGGGCCTCCAAAGCGAGTAGATGATGCATCCATACCGGGGCATTACAGGCGAGGTATGACTGGTGACGTCAATCACGAGTGACACTTAAAGTAATTGTTGTTGCAGCCTCATTACGATCAGGAAAGACGTGATTCAGACTCCATGATTCTATCCTTGCCAGCAGAAAATAGATATTATGACGAATATGGCTGAGGCTCTGCTGATCTTCAGAGTGCGTGAGTATGTCGCGTAGACTCTCCGAAGAAGTCTCAAAAATATTATTTGAGAAATGTAAATTATGTAAACATTCAACCGCCCAAAAAAGAGGCCACAACTCCGCCTCTGTTTTTGTACGCATGCATGAATAGGCTCTACGGCTATGCATAATTGTACATCTATTTTCATCTCGTAAGATCCATGAAACCCCACTAAGATGATTAGAGTTTACCCATGAAGATCCAACATTGCATTTGAGGAAACCATTAGGGTTTTTTTCCATCTGACCATTTCCGTAACAACATCACTCTCGTCCACTCCATTCCTCGTTCCAGAGAAAGTATCAAACCATGTGGATTCTTCTTCGTAAGCCTTCTTAGCACTGAATGAGGACTCAATAGCCTTGTTCTCAAAAATAAAAGCATTTCTAGCTTTCCAAATTTCCCATAACAACCATGGAAAAAAATTTCTTGTGTGTATATCTGTAGCGGAACTTGTATTAATCTTGATCAGATGCACAAAGTTTAAGAAAGTAGAATTCCAAGAAAAACCGCCAATGGGTACTGGGAAATTAGCTTGGTTCCATGTAGCACTTGCTTTAGCACATGTAAAAAGTACATGACAGATACTCTTAGCACCATTACCACAAACCGGGCATGTTGGGTACCACGAGTTGTCAACCGTTGTCTAACCGATAGCGCACCAGATAGAGTCCGCCACATAAAATGTTTATTTTTGGTGGAGCCTCGATAGCGCACCAGATAGAGTCCGCCACATAAAATGTTTATTTTTGGTGGAGCCTTGGTCTTCCACATGTCTCTCCACAATTGTTTTTCAATCGGAGTAAGCGAGTGTCCTTGAGGGTTATCAAAATCTACCAATGTCTCTAATAATTTATACCCACTCCGAGTAGAATATAATCCACTTGATGTGAAATCCCATCTGATCGAATCTTCAAGGATCAGAGATGGTTTCAGTAATAATATTCGTTGGACATCCTGGGGCGCAAAATTCTGTTGTAACATATTAATATTCCATTGGTTCGATCCCTGCAGGAGTAGGTCTGAGACTTTTAACGCTAGATTTCTTGAGCTCTTCTCACGGTACATTGGAGGTCGCGGAACGGTGTCAATAATCCAATTTTCAGCCCAAACATTAGTATTAATCCCATTTCCAATATACCGATATAATCCCTTTTTGAGTAATTCCCTATCGTGCATGATACTTCTCCAACATGAAGTGTTATAGTTAGTGTTTTGAAACTCGATTCGGACCCGTAGTTAAACCGATAAAACTGATGATTTATATTTAATCCAGTTTGGTTTTAAAATAAAAAAAACTCTTCATTTAAAAATTCTATAAACCAGTAAAAAACTGCTAAAATCTGAATATAACTTGTCAAGTTACTTTATATTTATTACTTAGTGTAGTAATTTAATTATGAATATAAATTATGTATATAAATTTATTTCTTATTATATAAATGAAAAAAAAGAATTAGTATTTGTTTTTAACTATAGTTAATATTAATTATGAATTTAATTATTTAAACATAAATATTAAAAAGATATGTGTATTTAAATTTTAAATTAAAGATATTAAAACTATTATTTAAATATAATCTTAGTAAAAGATACTTAAAAATATATTTTTAGATATCTTATTTTGCAAATATTAAAATAATTTGTTAAACATAATATAAATTTAAATGATAATTAAGTTAGTCGTAGGAAAATATAAATGAAATTAAATAAATGTAATAGTCTAACATAGACTACTTGTAAGCAAATAAAATGTGTTCCAGTTTTAATAGTATTGATATTATATTTTATTGTTTTAATAAAATTTTATTTTATCTAGTCTTTTTAAATGACATGTCGATATCTTAATCGATAAACTTTTCGTCCCTTTTCTTCCTTCTAATGGTTTAGTACTAAGAGAAAATGATAAGGATTACAAAAATGATAAAGATTTTGCCGTTATGTAGATAATGACATCTTTAATTAATTTTCCTTTTGTGTTATCGCCTCCAATAGATAGATTTTAAATATACAGTTGTTCTTAGACAGAATCAAAATCAAAATCAGATCGAGAATTGGTTGCCGGTAAATACAACATCACCATCTCCAACTGCCCTAGACAGCTATTCTCTACCTTTCTCTTCTCTATCAATCAAGAACCCCAGAAACCAACTTTCAAAGATCACCGACTCAAAAATGGGTTCTTCTCCTTCAAAAACAGCTTCTTCACCGACAATGAATTCACCTTCTCCGGCGATCAACAGAGCTTTCTCTTTCCCGACGCCGTCCGTTCACCATCCTCCGGCTAGAAAAGGCGACACTCATCACCTCGTCTCCCTCACTTCCACCTCATACGGTTCTCTCCTCCTCATCGACGCATCCCAAAACTCCTCCGACCAACAACAGACGCTTCCCCGTGTCTCAATCTCCGGGAAGAACACGCCGGATCTGATCTCAGGCGACTCGCTCTCTCCTGACTCGGTTATCAACACGTGGGAGCTTATGGACGGCTTGGACGATGACGAGTTCGAGTTCGAAATCCCTAAACTTGGTAATAAGCCTATCTCCAGTTTAGATTCGGATCTTTGTCCTAAACCCGACACGGATCTGAATGTGTCGGGTTTGAAACTAGACGGATCTTACGAACTCGTGAGAGTTGAACAGGAAGAAGAAGAAGGTTGGGTTCCGTTGACTTATAAACCAAAGCAACCTCTTTGGAAGCATTTGTCTGAAGAATCTTTTTTGTCTGGTTTGGATCCTAGCATTGTCTCTTCTTACAAGAAATGTTTGTCTCCTAATCAGACTATCAATGTTCCAACATCTGGTTGCTCTAGTCCAATGAGGACACAGGCCAAAGCAGAAGACAAGATTGTACTCTACTTCACAACCCTCAGAGGGATTAGAAAGACCTACGAGGATTGTTGTTGCGTTAGAACGATATTGAGAGGGTTTCAAGTCACTGTAGACGAGCGTGACATCTCCATGGATTCGAAATACAGAAAAGAGCTGCAAAGCTTGCTCGGAGATGTGAAAAAACCGGTTTGTTTGCCTCAGGTGTTCGTCGGGGATACCCACATTGGTGGTGTCGAGGAGGTTATGAAGCTAAACGATAGCGGCGAATTAGCTGAGATGTTGAAAGGTTTCACTGCTTGTGAATACTTGGGGACATGTCGGAGCTGTGGTGATGCAAGGTTCGTGCCTTGTACTAACTGTGATGGTAGTACCAAAGTGTTTGAGGAGGAAGACGAAATGTTCAAGCGGTGCTTGAAGTGCAATGAGAATGGATTGGTGCGTTGTGGTGAGTGCTGTCTCTAAGTAAACCTATTAGAGTGATTTTGTGAATTGTGAAGGCAAAGAAATGTTAAGAGAGGTGATAAGTCTTTACTAAAATGGTGTTGGGTCAGTATTGTATATGATAATAAGAAATGGGCTCAAGGAAAGCTAATTATTTACTAAGATGATATTGGTTTTATTATCCTTTGCTTTAAACACAAGAAACATATTTTATGTAAAGATCCTTTGCTTGTTCTTGACAACAACTAGAACAGTTTCAGTAAGGTATCATCTAACCACAAAAAGCCATGGAGACTCCGCCATTTGTTTGAATGTTCGGGGACGATGAAAGTTCATTGATGGATCAGTTAGAACGGCTATCACTCGAGGCTCACCACACCAATGCTTTGCTTGGTCGGAGCCCATCCAAGTCCGGTTTCTCTTCCATGTATACTTCGGTCATTGATGACTGCCACCAAGTCCGAAGAGGACTAGTTGTGAATAAGATACTGTAGCAGAAAAAATGGGCAGAAGAATAAAACAAGTGGCTTTGTGATTTAGATGGCATGAACTTTAAAATGTGGCACACTTTCAGAAAATCTGTCAGATTGTTTTGGGTAGTTAAGTTAGTTATCCTTTCTACTAACGACGGTATAACTAACATAATATACCTGCTGAAGTTAGCATTTGTGTGTTTCTTCTTTGGTAGAAAAAGAATGTAATTCAGCGGTTGAGAAAAATTAAAATAATGTAAATTAACCATATCATGATATATGGTAAAATTACATCCATCTTCCGCATTCCCAAACATTCTATCCATGATCCTTTAAAATATACTATTATTTGAAAAGTAATTTTACTTAGTTGTCATGTTCTCCATAAGTTTAAGTAATTTTGTTTATTTATCATATTTTTAATATTTATATATAGTTTATTTATAAATAAAACGAATTTATATGAATATATTATATTTTTAGAAAATAAGATAATTCTTGTGAATTATGTTGTTATCTTGAAATATATTTTATATATAAAACTTAAATTTTAAATTAAGATATAAAAATTATTAAATTGAAAATATATGTAAATGTGAAATCCTAAATAAGTCCATCCAATTAAGTAATTATTTGGCAATTTTGGCTAAAATAATTAATTACTAGAGTTTCACCTGCACATCAATGCGGATAACCTTTCATTTTATAATTTTTAATTAAATTTAACTAGGTGTTTTGCCCGCACTTGCGGGCTTAATAATTTACTAATATCTATAAACAAATATATAATCAATTTAAATAAATTATAATAAATTATTGTGCATACATTCAAAACATTTACTAATAATTCTTTCTATATATAAAATTTTTCATCATCAGATAAATAATTATTATTGCACAAATTAAATGTGAAATTCTCATAAATTTAAAATATTTAGTAATAAATTAATATGTTTTCTAGACATAACAAAAAGAAGTATAATAAAATTAACTTTAGTAATGTTTTGGATAACACAATATAAATTATCTATACATATATTCTTTGCAAATTGATTTTTCCATAATTAAATATATATTAACAAATATAATTATTTTTCAAGGTTTATAAAGACTTTATAACATAATATAAAAAAATTAGATAAGGATAATTATCAAATTCATGAAATTCGTTTTTAATTTAGAATTAATTATATATTAACAAATATAATTATTTTTTAAGGTTGATAAACATAATATAAGTTTTTTAAATAAGGATAATTATCTTAAGAAGATGGGCGATGACAAAAAAAAAAAAATAAGGATAATTATCAAATAAATGAAATTCGTTTTTAATTTATAGTTAATTATATATTAACTAATATAATTATTTTTTAAGATTAATAAAGATTTTATAACCCAATATAAAATAGTTTTAGATAAAGATAAATCTAAAATCAATTGAAATTCGTTTTTTATTTATATTTAATTATATATTGAAATTTTAAATTTTAAATTATTCATTAAGGGTATAAACGATATTAACCAGTCTAACTTTTAACGTGGGAGCTCCGTTGCGAAAAATCACTTCGCAAATAATAGTATAGATTTATAATTATATCTAAAAACGAAATAAAAATATTTATTTTAGAAAAAATATTTAAAATTTTTGGTAAGATCTTGTTAGATTTTTTTCATTAGATTTTGTTATATCTTTATTAATTATTAAGATATTTTTAAAGTAATATATATTTGATTGGTTTGTTAAGGTAACAATTAAATATGCCATATTAAATAATTAGTGACATAGTCCAACATGACTTCTAAATAGTAGATAAATTTGATACTTCTTTTTAATAGAGACTAGATTTTGAACCCGCACATCAGTGCGGGTACTTTTTCATTTTATAAAAATATAACAAACCCTTTCAAATATATATGATTTACATTCTATTGTTATATATTGTATAATTGTATAATATTATAATTTTAATTATTTTTATATAATATATTGTTGTAAGTTTTAAAATAAAAAAAATATTCATATATAATTTTTTATATAATGTTTTTGTTTACAAAAATATATGTTAACATTTTTTGTATAAAATTATTATATGGTTTAAAAACTTTAATATGTTTTGAAAGTGAGTGATATTTATTTATTTATTTGAATAAAAGAAAATTTTAAAACTAAAATAATTCCTTTACCAATTTAATATATTTAATATTCATTTTACATAGCATTTTATTTTAATATAATATAGAATATAACTAAAAATATAAATATAAAAAAAATTTAGTTTTAATTAACATGAATATAGATATTTATTTATATTAACACGAAATGAAATAATACATATTTTATAAAATAATTAAATTTCTTAGTAAGATCTTGTTAGATATTTTCTCAACAAATTTATTACTAATATCTTATTAATTATTAAAATATTTCTCCAATTATATATATTTGATTGATTAATATACATAATTAAATATGTCATATTAATGAGATGGTCCAACATGACTTTTTTGTAGTAGATAAAAATGGTACTTCTTTTTTAATAGAGAAGATGATATAAATAATAGATATGTTTCTTCATGTTATTTTAAACTACAAAATCAATATTCCTCAATGTCGCCAATTATGGTGATAATTATAGAAATATCATGTTTATTAATTACCTTAATATATTTGCAATTTTTATTTATAATTTGCCTTTTGACTATATGGTAAAAAGTAACTATTCCTAATGATAGAAAAAAACATTTTTAAGCAAATACGAAAGTACTTAATGTTAAATAGTAATTTGCTGTTATATAACAGATTATAAAATCATGAAACAAACATTATATATGTACACCATTTATGCTAATAACTTATCTTTCAAGTAAATGTAATGTAATGTAGTAGGACTTTCGTTTTATAACAAACAAACATGTACAATAAATAGATATTTATAGCGCATCATAATTTAAATTGAAATATAGTTCTTATAGTAGTTCATCAAATAAAAAAATAAAAATAAAATAGAATTTTCATTTTATTTTTACAATAAATATGTAAAATAAAACACCCAGAACTTAAATTGTTATAAACCTTTTAAAATTATTTTATAAAAAATTATTATAAAGAACTAACGAATTTAAGAGTATACATTTGTTAGAATGTAACAAATAAATTAATATGTGAGATAATCTCTTCAACTAGATAACTTCTTAAGAATATTTCGTAATAGCATCATTTAAAATATTTCTCCTCTTTTCAATTATCTTCTTCATTACGACGAGATTTGCATCCAAAAAAATATGAAAACAAATTTTAATCATATAAGAATAAAAATGGTGATATTAAGAATATAATCTAATAAAATGAATATAACTTGGATTATGCGGAGATTTCAAAATGATAACAAAACTTAATTGTTTTCATATTTATCTAAATGAGTATTATCTTTTAATTTGAAATTAAAATAAATAGAAAGAAAATATTGTTTGGTTTATACATTTCAAATTAATAGTTTTGCCTATCATATCTAACTATAGTTGTATTTAATCAATATTACTTTATTTATATATTAACAAAAACTAAATTCTCATTGTTTCCTATATGTTTTGACATATACTTTTATTTTTATATATTAAACTTCTTTTACTATATATATGAGTCATATTATGTTCTCTACTATGAATATAGCTTAAGTTTAATATATATAAGGGTCAAAATTTTCATTTGTTATATAGTTTACGGACAACAATTCATTTTTCATATGTACTGGAATAAGATAAACTTTTTTTAATGTGTTCATTTTCTACAGGTCAAAAAATATTTATCAAGTTACAAACGGCTTNAGATGTAGTTATTATTTAGGAACACTATTTTCCTCCCTATTAATTAACCTAACAAATATTATTTGTTGTTAAATGCATCTTTGATTGAAAGCATATATTCTTATTTTGAGTATTTATTTTAGAAAGTGAATCTTTGTTTATCAAGTAGCAATAAATATTTCACATCATAAAATGAAGTTTTTATAATTAAACTGAAAAAGGAGTAAATTTTTTTGGTGTTCTCTATCGCCTTTATCTTTTTTTTATCAGACAACATAGTACTTCTTTTAGTAAAGAATCAAAAATCAAATATACTATTCAATTTCATGTACTCATTTTAAAATATATAAAATTTTGATCAATCTTTTTAGATCACCAATTTTATCTTAGTTTTACACGGGTCAGTCAGTGCTAGGTGACATGTTACTAACGTATTTTGGATTCTTACCAAATGTTATAGAAATTTTAAATAGCGGTGAATTAGTTAAATCCGAACTGAAATATATACATATCACTAAGTTTAGTTGCTCAATCTCAAACCCGTGTCGGGTATGAAAACACTGTTCAACACAATTATAAATGTATTAAGTTGCAAAATTTTAACACATGTAATTTTATAATTATCAAATCTTTGTTTCGTATAAATCAATTTATAAAGAAAATATATCCCGCTCTTGAAAAGATATGTGGTAGTCGCATGTCCAAGATATATTAAAGAGATATTGTCGGTATATTTGTGTTGGGCTTGGGTCGTTAATATGATGTATTGATTTATTTACGGGCTTGCAATAATCATTCGCGGTTGTATTCTGAATTTTTATGTTATTTTCTTATATAATTGTTTTGATAATCATATTTTTAAACACACTATATAATACAATGTCAATTTTTATGACCATAATTTTAAAATAAACAGTCGGTTGTATCTCTATTTATTTTTATATGACAATAATATCAACCAAATTGTTTATAATAGTATCCTAAAATTATTTATTTTTTATAAATAATAAGTTCGAACTCAAAATATAAACTATTAGAAATAAATACTTTAGATTATCGAATAGAACTCATAATTTCACCGGGTCTCTAAAATTTGTTATCTAATAAGAAAAATCAATCTTACACCACACATTAAATTGTATGTAATCGTATTTAATCTATATATGGTGGACCAAACCAAAATTATTAACGACAATCTATCTGAACCCGGATACTCATGTCTATACATACTTGTGAATAATCAAACAAGAGAATAAATTTAAAGCAAAAACGATTGTCCCGCCCTCTTTAAGGGTGGGTCAAAATCTAGTTTAAACTATTAAAACTGAAGTACATTTTGTACTTAAGGCAGACTTTTCCACAAAAATTACAACTCAATGCCACTGGTCTTTTTTGTCTTTTAAAAATACAATTTCGGATGGGCCTAATGTCTTTCCACAAAAATTACAACTCAAGTATACAATTTCGGATGGGCCTTATGACTGGGCCGTTTTGCTTACATTATCAACAAGGAAAAGAACTAGCTCTCTCCTTACCAAACTGAATTTCAGTTTCAATTATAACGACAATTTAATCACAAACACTTTTCTTGTATTCCATCTTCAGTTCTTACATAAAACAAACATGTTTACATATATAATAAAACAAGTTTGAGTCAAGTGTTTACATAAGCAGCAATATCATAGTTTGATCCCGGTTATCGGTTAGCTTTAGTTCCGGTTTTAATCACAGTTAGAAATTACGTCCACAAAACCTATTGATCTCTACTACTCGATCTAAAACTCTGTTTTTCAAATATTATAATACCATAACAAATCCGATATTTAAGCAATGAATATTAAGTCTACAAAATCTAAACTTAGGCAAAAAACACGACATCCAACTATTTCCCCTAATTCTACGCAATTACCATATCAACAAAGATATTATTTTATTCGATCTTTGCATAACTACAAAATCCTATGCAGTATATAATAACAAAATATTCCTTTCTGAAAACAAAACAACATTATAATTTATTTCCTATTTCTGTGCAGTCTCCATATCAATTAAAGAAATCAATTAAAGATGTCAATTAAAAATAGTGTAAAACACGTAATTTTGTAGTTAAAAATGTATATTCTCTTTTAGATTAGATATCATAGTAAATGAAAGGATATAACTTAGGATCTGACTGTTCTCCAGCCATCACCCACAAACGCAGCTTTTGCGGTTGTTAGCGGTTGTTGACATTTTGCAACAATCACAAAAAACGCTATAAACCGCTTCAAATCGCTCTGAATCTCTAAAAATCAAAAGCTGGTTTCAGCTAGCGTTTGCGGACGATTGCGGGAGGATAAAAAAAAATATAATTTTCTTAAGGGCAAGTCTCTCAAATAACCATCTTTTAAGTTTTTATCACAAAAATAACCTCAAAAATTAAAATGACCAAAATAGCACTTTTTATTTTGAAAATTTTAAGTTTTTTTAAAATTTTTTTTTAAATTCGAAACCCTATCTCCAAAACCCCATTCCTCAACTCTAAACAAAAAATCTAGGATTAGTTAACCCAAGGGATATAAATATAGATTTAATAAAACATTTAAGTATTATTTTTGTCATTTTAATTGTTAAGGTCTATATTTGTGATAAAAACTTTTTTAGGTCTATTTTAGTCATTTTCTCTCTTTTTTCAAAAAACTATATAAATATAAAAATAAAATATTCAATTAAAATAATTAAAATACTGAAATATTTATATTATAAAATTTCCAAAAAAAATATTTTCTTTAATTTTTAAAAATTGATAGTGCAGTTTTTTCAATAAAAACTTTATATTTATCATGAAAATATGATTTTAATATTTTGATAATTATATAAAATATAAATATTCTTAATTTATTATTTAAAGGCTATTGTCTATGATAATAAACCAGTCATAAGTATCCCGCAAACGCAACAATTTTTAACCGTTTAAATCTCTTACTAACCCTTAAAACCACAATCTCCCATATCCGCAAACGCCGCAACCGTAATCGCTGCGTTGTAACCAGTCAGGCCCTTAATGTAAAAACGTATCTTCCGTGAGATTTTCCGTGCAACCCACAACAAACCAAATCTTTTATTACTTTTTCCAATTTAACCTACTCTTTCCTGTGACAAGTATATATATGGACTCCATGTATCGTCAAAAACACATCAAACAAAACTCAAATCCTAAACATGTCTATCGTGACAGTTTTTACTCCTTTCACAAAACTCAGACCTTACAAGCACAATTGGAGAGTTCAAGTTAAATGTTTGCATTCATGGAAGCAACACACATCTTTCGGAGGTGATAGCTTCGAGATGATTTTAGCAGATCAATGGGTACATATGTTTATTTATTCTTCTCATTATAACATTACTTGTGTTTCTTTGAGCCTAATAACCGTTTTTTTTCTAGGGAAACACGATCCATGCTTCTTGCAAGCAAATCTCATGCCGCTGGTGGTAAGTACCGAACAACAAAACACAAGTACAAGATGGTTATAGCTGACGATTCTGATTTGGCTGATGATAGAAATTTTCTATCTCTTGCCAATTATGAACTAATTCAGAATGGATCTCTAAAGCCAAGTTTCCTCATTGGTAATTTTCAATTCGATTCTATTCAAAATACAGTTATTTTTTATTTACTATATCATAATTCTTTTTCATTTTCTCTCAGATGTAATAGGTAGAGTTCATGAACTTGGTGATGTTCAAACTGTGCCAGTTTCAGGAGAACAACGAAAAAGGGTTCAATTTTGCTTATTTGATACAAAGTTGGTTCTCTTAACCAAATGTTTCATTGTATATATATATATTTAAATACTTCATTACTGTATTAATTATTACTTTGTTTCATAATTGATAGAGGAAACAATCTTGCATGTTGTCTTTGGGGAACTTATGCTGAGCAACTAGAACCTTTTACTGAGGACAAAGATCAATCAATTGTTTGTTTGATCAGGTTTGCGAAAATCTCAGAGTTTAGAGGTATTTATATTGCACTTTTATATGGGTTTAATTACTGTATTTTATATTATTACGCCTAATTTAAATCTATGTTAATTAGGTGAGGTACTAAATAAGATTCTTATTCTTGAGTTTTAAACTGCTTGTGAATTCTCATACATTCATTTTAAGGTATTATTTTTCCTCTTAACCCATTACAAACAAACTTTGATAAGAAGTCATGTGTATATATAAATAAAGCAAGATATGCATAACTGAATCAACCAACAAACGAACGTTGATTAGAAGTCATTTGTACATATGACTGAAGCAAGATATGATCAATGAATCAACCAACAACCAAAACATATATAGTTAAGGCAAGCCTAATACTTACAATCCTATAACTTTTTCTATATGGTTTTACTCTGCTTTTGTCTTATGCATTATTTGGATTATAGAGAGAGTGAATACTAACCGTGTTCTGTTTCAGTTGGTCAAGGTTGTTGTCGTCATTATAAGCTGGATACATCGAACTTTGTCCTTAGAAGGTCCAATATCATGCGAAACATTTTAAAAAGGAAAATATCATTATATGGTGATTGAATAACAAGATCAACAACAGTTTTTTTAGTACAAAGATGTTTTTTGTAATACATTCAAGTACCTTTTTTATGTCGATTATGAATATAAAAGCAAATATGTTGATCCTGAAATGTCTTCTCCTTTGAACAACGTTTAGGTGGTAACTCTTTCTGAAACAAAAACATATAAAAAATCATATTTTAAATAGCCCTAATAAACTCCACTACTGTCAATTACAGAACACAAAATTACAGCCCCTTAAGACAAATTAACAGAGAATCTATAGGAAAGAAAATGGATTCTCACATGAAGTCCGATATTCCTTTTGGCAGAGACGAACAAAGGATCTCTATTTTAGCCTTTATCAGGAGGAGATAAAAGGAGGGGGTGGGTGAATAAATGATAATCTCCTGAGAAGCGGAAGGAATTTTGTTGGGAGTAGAATTGTGATCTTCTTCGCCGGAGTGAGCAACGGGTATCAGAAGCTCCCCATCTATGTTAGCCATTGCAATTCCTGGTTTCGAGTTACCCATATACAGAGACGTAGAGAAGGATTCGAAACCCCAGCAAGCAGCAATAGAGAAGGAAGGAGAGATCAACAACCTAATCTAAGTTGTGGTGATGTATTAAATATTGAAGGTCTGAAGAAGAAGATTTGGACACAGTTTCAGATCGAAGAAGAAGATTAGCAATTTAGTTTCACACCGACACACAGAAATAAAAAAAAAAAGCCTAAAGAGAGATACATTTTTTTTCCCGAAAAAAACAGTTATCAATGGACTTCATATTTATGGGCCTTAAATATTAAACATAAAGACTAGAAATTTTTCTTATAATTTTGTCATCAACTAAGCCCAACAATTATTAGTGATTAATTAACTTCTTTTTAACTTTTTTATCTTTAAATTTCAGACTATAAAGCAATATTATTTATTCAGTTAATTTTTTGTAAACATATTTTTGATACATATATTATTCTATATATTCTGAAACAATATGTATATGTTTATAAAGTGTAACAAACTCGATTTTGTTTGTATGATATTATTTAAATTTAGTTAATTTATTACACAACTAATTGCATTTCAGTACTAAATTATATTTAATCACTACCAAATACACGAAAGGTCATTTAAAAATGTCAAAATAACTTAGAGCTTATCACAAATTGTATTACTCACTATTATTATATTTTGTTAACACACAAATTTAACGTTATTAATAAAAAGATAGTATTTGTAGACAAACATAATTTATGTGAAAAATATACAAAATAGTGATTACATGGATGATCTGGTTACAATATAAATTTTATATATCCACATATTATATAAAACGCAAATGTAATGATAAACAACTTATGTATTTACCCTTATTCATTTTTAAAAATGACAATTTTCTTAATAAAATTGCGAGATGTTTTTTTTTTAATTGTTTTTATTACTGCTGTCTATATAATTAATATTTTTTTAAAAAATCTATAAAATCATAATTTAAAAAATAGTTTCAATAAAAAAATAATTGTATCATATAACACACCATCTATACGAGACATTCTAATATTTTACATTTATTTGTTTAGTCTACTAACTAAACAAAAAATTATATATAAATTTAAATACAATCTGATAGTTAGAAAAAGACACTAAAAAAATAAACAAGATAAACCGACATAAGAACTCTCAAAACTATGACACATAAATATTGATTTTTCTAAACTCTCAAACCTATAACATTAGAACTCTCAAACCGACATCAGAACTCTCAAATACATAAATATAAGTTTTTTTACAACTAACATAAACAAATAATTATACAGAATACACACCCAGTCAAAAGCTAGTCTAATCTATTAAAAGAGGAGTACAAATAGTACTTAACCCTTAGTTTTCCTCAATAATTACTACATAATGCCACTAGGATAAAACACAACGTTTTGCCTTTTTTAATAAACCGACATCAAACTTTTTGTGCATTACGAAACCGTAAAAAAGACATTAGCTTTGGTTTACGCGGTTCTGTGGATAATTTAATTCGAACATACATTTATATATATAGCAATTGGTAAAAGTAAACCAAATAAAAACCAGATGATACCACTTTCCTTAACAATCATTGACCACCAAATTGAACTGGTGCGTGACCTTCAGTCATCTTCGTCAGTCTACGGATCAAATTAGTCCCATAGAGACACTCATACACAGTCTTTAACAATTTTACAATCAAAATCACTATATCTCATATGAACAACTTCATATCATTGCTTTGTCAAAGAAACTTGAAAACACCAATATTTAGATAACTAGGATCGGCCCGCCCTACGGGCGGAAAGTTAATAAAAACTACTTTATATAAATTTATATTAATATTATGAAGCATTAAAAATTGTTATAGATTGAAAAAGATATTATAAACATACAAATAATGAAAGAATTTTGAGTTTATATAGTGTTTTTAGTAAGTATTTTTTGGTATACATAATATTTGTATTTGATACTAAAACCAATTTAATGAAGATTTCCTGGATATTTAATTTAGACAAATTTATTTAAAATTTCTAATTTACTTTTAACAAAATAGCTTTAAGGTTTTAATTGGCTTAAAAAAATTTGTATCTATGTATTTTTACTATTCATTTTAGAATCATAGACCTTTCTAATTATAAGAAAATTTAAAAATTCAATTATTTACGTCCTCTCAATGTTTATTTTTAGTTTAACTATACCGATAAGTCACATAAATTTTTTAAATTACTTAGAGTAAGTACAGTAAAGTTATTTTATCTCTTAGTTATGTATTTGTTTCAAAATATTGAACAAACTCAACTTCAGTTAAGAGTTATTTGATTTCCACCATCTGCATTTACTAAGATTCAATCAACTCTAACTTCAAAATATAACCTTATATATATTTGAGGTAATATTTTCAAATAGTTAGTCAAGATATCAACTTAATTTATTTAGATTAATAATTTTCTTTTAAAGTTTTTTTTATGTTGGTTGTATTTTATTTTGACAAGTTTCATTTTTGTAAGTTTACATTCCAAAATATAATTTCCCATAGGAATATACTAAATTACGATTTAGTTTCCTTTCAAGATGTTTTATATTAAGTTCTTTAATACCGATTTTCATTTTGCTTTAAAAGATAATAGAAGTTTTGATATTTAAATATTTAATTAAAATGTGTTTTATACTCCATCTGTTCCTAAATAATCCATGTTCTAGACTTTTCACAAATATTAAGAAAACTCATTTAATTTTGATTGTAAATGCATTGCTTTTTTTGTGAATAACAATTTTCCATAACTTTTAACCAATAGAAACTCAATAAACACCATTAATTTTTTTTTAAACTTACAATTTTTCATTAAATCATTCATTGAAAATGTAAAAAATGCATTTTTTTTGAAACATATTTTTTTTCTATAATATACATCTTTTAGGAACAGAGGGAGTATTTTGTTAGATTTAACCAAGATACGAAGCTATTTTCTGTTAGTCCTTAGTTTTTCTATTAACTTTTTGTTTTGTTTTGATAAATATGATTTTTTAAGTTCTATATTATTTATGACATAATTTTTTTCAGTTATTTTTTACGTTGATTTACCAAAATACTTGTCAGAACATCAAAGTAATTGTTATGGCAATATTAAGGGTATCTCTAGACTATCATTAAACAATCGAGAACTAACATGGATTTGAAGATCACAGCCATAGATAACCAACTCAAAGAGAAAAGAAAACGTTAAACCAACTACCGATAGAGTCTTGTGCTTATTTCCAGACATGCAATTACTGAATATCTTTCAAGTTTGCATCTGATCTTGCTCACAATCCTAAAACGTTAAACCAATGTTTGGTCTGCACTTTAAATTTCTTGTCTCTAACATATTCTAAAAAGTTAGCATCAAATTATCCTTCCTCTTTCTCTATGCCCTGACTAAAAGCTTCAATCTGCTCTCCATCACTATACAATGAGATAGTTGCATCAATATGACCCCAGTCAGGAAAAAATCGAGTTGTCCAAAGAAAACTTGCTTCAAAGATCAATCACAAAAACCAAAGCAAAGCAAAAAAGATTGCAAAAATATTACCTCATAAAAGTCTCTGCTTCATAGATATTGTCGTTATCATCAGTTTAAAGCTAAACAGTATTCTAATTGAAAATATGTGCACGCTCCAAAACACGGGGTTTGGCCTAACAATTATATAAACCATGAGGCCTACCACTAAATGTACTTGTTGGTCAGGAAGTGGTAATGTGAATGTAATATATCAACGCTAATCGAAATAATGTTTACACAATATGTATATACACCAATCCAAAACGCTTAGTATGGAAAATTAAGTGGCCAACAGAGTGGTCCATGTACTATCAACTCCACCTGGAAACGTTTGAATAAAATGAACCATATATAAACACTAACCTCTTCATAAGTAAATCATAATAGCATATATACCTTTTAATTCCTAACTTTATTGACATGTGTGTAAAAGGATTATTAAAGCAGCAACCATTTTTTATTAGACAATCTGGAAAGTGAATGAATCAAACATAGAGCCTCCATAAAATGGGGTAAAGGCATAAATAGTTGAAACACTGCATATGGATAAAATAAACAGATGAAAGCGCTGCATAAAAAGGAAGAATACTGCGTACGTAGTCACTCCTATCCCAATTCAAGCCACATACTTCTTCTTGACAACCTTAGGAGCTGGCTTCTCAGATGCAGTACCATGTAGATCTGTAGCCGCATTGACACTTGCCTCATAGCTGCTCCCTCTACTTTCAAGAACTGGGGTTGCATTTGCCTTGTCGTTCCCATCATCGTAGCCACCTCCTGTTCCAGTAGTACGGTTATAGAAACATATTTTTTTTTCTTTTAGATATTGAAAAATTCAAACAGTCAGACATACATTGTCGATAGAGTCAGGAAGCTGCACTCGTTCACACTCATCCAAGATGTGAGTGACAGTGAATGTCTGATGGTTAGTTAGTCACTGCGAATATGTAGCAGTTAGTTAGGTGATGAGCCTTATATCTAAGGTGAGAACATAAATCAGATATGCACAATAACGTTAGATAAGGATCAAAAATCTTACTTACCCAGTTTGATAGTCGCCATGACATGATTCTTGACTTCAGCTGGATAACTCTTAACAGCAGTTATTTCATCTATAACGCCTGTAACCAAACTGATGTTAATATAGTACCTGCAAGTAATGTTGAACATTTAGTATTAAGTAACCCAGGAGCAGGAGCTGAGTGTTAGTGTTAGCCAATCCTAGGATCTCAATTTCATTACGGTTATCTCTTCAAATGAGGTTGTATCATTGAACCGAATCAGCAAGGATGAGTCAGGAAGCCTGAAGTTTTGAGAACACCGGCCTGCATCAAATCCAGAGATGTATTACATCGATCCGGCAGTGAGCGTATGCCAGAATGTTGGAAGCCGGTTAGCATTGATAGTGGCTTGCATAATAGTAGCATGCAAAGAATCAGATAGATCTCAGATTTAAAAAAGGAGATACCAAGTACCGAAAATATACAGTATAACAAAACTAATCTGAAGCGTTAGTCAAAATAATTCCTAAGTTATCTCAATGGTAGTAAGTAAAGAAATTTGAGGATGTTTTTCAGAGTAGGAAAGCACACCTATTTATACTCGCAAACAAACCGACTCCATGAAGATTACAACACATTCATGTCGAGATCGTGGGTAAAGAAGTTAGTAACATGATAAATGGAATGGATCTGCATTGGTGTTGTTTCGTCTGTACGATAAGGAAGTCGAAGGGGGCAATAAGATCCCAGGCAAACCGAACCGTCACGCCTCGCCAAACAGAACTATCTTGACGTCGGCTGAGAGAGAGACTGCGTTTGAAAACTTAATTATCGGGATGGGTTGTCAAGCATAACATGAGGTCCGTAAGTGCATGAAAGTCCAATAAAGTGGATATGAAGCTTAATTTAAACGCTGAGTTTCGAAAACGTCGGACACGTTGCACATTATGAGAACATGAATTAGTGACGTGGCAAAGACACGAGGGAAGAAACTCTTCTTTATATATAAAGATACGTTATATCATTATGAATAAAAACTTTGATTATTCTAAATCAACTCTAATTAAAACAATACGATTTTATCTCTTTGGTTAATAAAATTCAAAATCAGATCTAATAATTTAATTTCGTCCAAAAAGATTTTACCTTCCTAAATCTTTACATATATTTATGCAATCACCATAACAATTAGGATATCATTGAAACACCCAAAAATATTCTTTTTGTTTCTTATCTTGCAAATCAATTTTAATATCTAATCATTAATTACCTAAAATTTTGCAATTTCCTTAACTTTCTAACAAACAAATCAATTTTGGGTGTCTATGGAACAGTATATTCCCTTTTAATGCTAAGAAAATCACATGACATATATGCTATGTCTAACCAATTATTAACCCAATATGATATTATCAGTTTCCTAAATGAATTGAAATACCATAATATTTCTTTTTTCTTATCTTGAAAATCAAGTTTAATATCTAATATTAATTACCTAAATTCGTGTGATTTCTTTAACATTTTAACAAACAAATTAATTTTGGAAAAAAAATCGAAAAGTATATTCTCTTTTAATGCTAAAAAATCACAGGGATATATAGGCTATCTTTAACAAATACTCGCACAGAGCTACCTATATATACTTTTACCCGATTACGTTATAAGCCTATCACTATACCCAAATCCTCCTAAGATGTCTACAATGACTACTTTTCATGCACTCACAACTCAGACCATTCAGAAATAATTGGCGAGTTCAAGTTAAGTGTTTACATTGCTGAAGGCAGAACACAGCTTTTAGAGACATCTGCCCTTCGGTTTCTTCATAAAGAGTATTTGGTTTCCTCTGTCCTGTGTTTCTTCATAAAGAGTACTTAGTTTTTTTTACTAATATATCATGCCTGCAAAGCAACTTATCCAAGTCAGAGCATAATGTTTTTAAAGGGATACTATGAAATAATAACATGAATGTTTATCATATAATCCTTTACAACCTTCATTCGCGCGGGTGAATCTTTCAAGATTATTTCATAACTTTTTATTTTTTAAAGTTCAAAATTCTCTAATTATGATTTGACTGAAACTATAAAAAAATAAATGTATTCAGTATAATTCAATAAAACACCCACACATTATCTTAATAATATAATACTTAATGTTTACATTAGCAAATAAAATGAACATTTGTACAACATACTTTTTAATTGGACAATAAAAACTGAGCAAAATACATCAATCTCAAAACTTAAAAAATATGAAACTATCAAATAAATGTTAAACATTTAATTATTTATAACTTACACCCGCGCGGGCACGCGGGTCCAAAATCCCGTATGATTTTATAACTCCAGCAACCTGCATAGACCGAGGCATTAGCAAGGGTCGCAGCAACGGCCACATCAGTTTTACCCATTCCATTGATGGAATGGAGATTCAAGGTTATGGATTCAACAAAAACACACAAAGGAATATACTGCTAGTGGAGAGGAATCCATGAAGAAGCAAGTGCAAAGGAGTAGAGGTGGGACGGATCCGGATATTTGGGAAGTTTGAAGTATATGGATCTGGTTGGATCAATGATTTTAGTATCCGGATTCGAATTCGTGTCTTCCGGATATCTGGACTTCGGATATCCGTCTAGATATTGTGATATCCGCGGGTATCCAGATTCGGATCCGTAAAAACAATTAAAAAAAATAAAAGAATAATAAAAAATAATAAAGAAATTCTAAAAAATAATACATAAACTAAATATTTAAGCATAATTTATGAATATATATATGACATATAATATTATTAATATAAAAATAGAATACTATTAAACTTATTTTATATATAAATATTAACATATAAGACATAATTAATAATTAAATAAAAAATTTAATATATTTTTAAAAATGCGGATCCGAATATCCAGAACTAAAAATTAAGATATCCGGATCCAAATTCGGTTTACACGGATCCGAGATTTTATTATCCGGATTTGGATCCGAGCACCCTTAGATATCCTAATTTTGGAGCGGATCTGGAGCAGATCTCGGATTAAATCCGGATCTCAGATAAAAGTCCCAGCCCTATCCACAAAAGGAGAGACCTTTTGGCAAACATTATTATTTTGGGCCATTATATATAAAATCTAATTGCTTCGGGGAAGAAATTGAAAACTTTCTTTAAACCTATTGATACGGTGTCGTATTTGACAAGTCCACTTTGGGCTCGTGACACTTACGGTGCGGTGCTTCCCTTTGAATGCAAGCAGAGACTTTCAAGCGAAAAGTCTAATCCAGAGAGAGCCAAGTGATCCGCCATGACTGCTCGCAAGAGAACTTCTTCACTGACTAATCAGCCTCCGCCGCCGAAGCCCACCATTGCTCCCGCAGAAGATTTCCGTCTCGCACCGCCGAAACTAGGCGTGATCTTCGTGATCTCTGCCCTTCTCTGTTCGCTCTACCTCTACCTTCTCTGTTTCCACTACAATGTCGATAGTGAGCTCAAGCGTCCGATCTTGATCAACGCGGGGCTTAGCTTGGTGGGGTTCTTCGTTACACTCAAGTTGATTCCAGTGGCTGCTAGATATGTTCTGAGGCGTAACATGTTTGGTTTTGATATTAATAAACGTGGCACGCCTCAGGGAGATGTTAAAGTGTAAGTCTTTACTTTGTTTTTGGTTTCAGCTTCGTATTAGTGTTTTGAAATTGATGTTTTGTCGACAGTCTCGGCTTTGATTTGATCTCTGTGACATCTGATTTTGAGTTTATTTATGTTAAAGTGTAAGTCTTTGCCTCTTCAGCTTAGTATTAGTGTTTGAAATGGATGTTCTGTCGAAATCTAGGCTTGAATTCGTCTCTGTGATGTCTAACTTCGCTTGTGTGGTCTGATTAGCCTGTTAATGTTAAAGTGTAAGTCTTTATCTCTTTAGATTTGTCTGCTTTAGTTGTTTTGGTTTCAGCTCAGTTTTAGTGTTTGAAACGGATGTTCTGTCCATCCAAATCTAGGCTTGATATGATCTCTGTGACATCTGACTTACTTCTGCTTGTGTGGTTTGATTAGTTTGTTTGTGTTAATGTGCAAGTCTTTAGCTCTTTAAATTTGTCTCATTAAGTTATTTTGGTTTCAGATTAGTATTAGTATTATGCGTCTTTCTTATAATGGATGTTTCTATTGAAGTCTAGGTTTTATTTGATCTCTGTGAGATCTGTCTTTTGCTTGTCTGGTCGGATTAAAGAGTCTTTGGTGTGCTGGTTTTCACTATTTCTCACTTTTTGTTCGTCTTGTTTCTTTGTAGGCCTGAGTCACTGGGAATAGTTGTGGGCATTGTCTTCTTGATTGTGGCGATAATATTTCAGTTCTTTAACTTCACTGAAGATTCGTTGGTAAGTGTGTTGTACTTTCTCCTACAAGCTTGATCATTCATTTATTTTGGCTGAATAGGTCATTGTTTATGCGTCGCATGTGTTAGCCCGGTTGTTGTTGTTATGTGAAATGTAGTATTTAAATAGCTATTGGCTTATTTACTGCTTTTGAAAAAACAATCTCTCTATGCAGTGGCTTGTGGAGTACAATGCAGCACTGGCATCTATTTGCTTCATGATCTTGCTTGGATTTGTAGATGACGTCCTTGATGTGCCTTGGAGAGTGTAGGTGCACTTCTTATACTTGTTTCATTTAGTTCATATGTGAAACTTTTATCACATATAAATTCTTTCAATACATGCAGGAAACTTCTCTTACCATCTTTTGCAACTCTTCCACTGCTAATGGCTTATGCTGGACATACAACTATTGTTATACCAAAACCTCTTGTTTCCTATGTTGGCTTGGAGATACTTGATCTAGGTACAGTTCTTCTTTTGACATAGTAGTGTTTTATCATGCAGCAACAAAACGATTTTCTTAATTGTTGTTATGGTGGCAGGACGGATCTATAAGCTGTATATGGCGCTACTGGCTGTCTTTTGCACGAATTCTATAAACATCCACGCTGGTCTGAATGGCCTTGAGATCGGTCAAACCGTAGTTATTGCAGCTGCTGTAAGTTCTGTAATCAAAATGCGTTTGAAATTCTTCATTCTTTTGTCACATTTCCCTCCCTGTATGATGCATCTCAGTTACTTACTTGTAGATCTTGATACACAACGTTATGCAAATCGGAGCATCTGTGGATTCTGAGCTTCGCCAAGCTCATGCGTTCTCTATATATCTTACTCAGCCATTGATGGCAACATCCTTGGCAATGCTTGCGTACAATTGGTAATACTTTAAAGTCTTTTCTCTGGAATACTTTTGACTTTTCTTTAGCTGAACGCTAATGTTTACTCTAACCACATTCATGTCCTTTCTTTCATGTTCTCAGGTATCCTTCTGCAGTTTTTGTTGGAGACACTTACACAGTCTTTGCAGGAATGACTATGGCCGTTGCTGGCATTCTGGGTCACTTCAGGTGTACAGAACTTGTTCCCATCTTCTTAATTTCATTATTTGCATCTAACTAAAGTGTGAAGCCTTCAACTAACTTTCTTCTCCTTTTTGCAGTGAAACCCTCCTAATCTTTTTTATTCCTCAAGTGTTGAACTTTCTATTGTCGCTTCCGCAGGTTTGATCCCTCTCAGATTTTCTTTTACTTTTCAGTTTCTAATTAAGCATCTAACTTGATATTGTGTAACTTTTTAGCTTGCTGGCATTGTGAAATGTCCACGGCATCGTCTCCCAAAGTAAGCTAATCTTTCCTCCTGTTACATAAAAGCAGAGCCGACAACACATGACTCTTTCTCTCTCTGTTTTGAACCAGGTTTGATCCTGCAACGGGATTATTAACGGGAACAAAAGATGGGACGCTGGTTAACGTTTACCTGAGGATTTTTGGGAGGAAATCAGAAAAGTCTCTTTGTGTTCATCTTCTTGTTTTCCAAGTAAGTTTGTTTAATGCTCTTTTATCTCTAAATACAAGTTGGCTTATTGTACTTGCGAGAGAAAGAGAGAGATTACAAATTTGGTTTTTTGTGTTTAATGTTGCAGGCACTAGCTTGCGCCTTCTGTTTCCTGCTTAGGCATTTTCTTGCTGGTTGGTACAAATAAAATCTTTGCAACATGAGAGAATCTTTTCTTTAAACGGTTCCTCGTTTAATCATCTCTCCGCCTTCACAAATCACACAGACAGAAGTCAGTTTTTGTTTTCGTATCCATTAGTATCATTGTTTTAGCTCACTTACAAAGATAGTTTCAATCCTTAAGCGAGATCAATACGAGTGAATCTCAACAATATCAATATATTCGTATTGTTTATCATTTTCTTGCATCTAATTTATAGAGAGAATGAACCGGCGATAAAACGGTCATATGTGCAGGACCGGATCAGGGTGAAAGCCTAGCCTTGGTCCCTAAAAATTTTCTAAGTTTATCATATGAACATAGATTCCCAAACTATAATTTTTTTTCATGTGTAATTATTTAACTGAAATAGCTTTGTAAATGTGAGTCAATGTAAATGTGTGTGGATATATTTGTAGATGGAATAGATTATATATATATATATATATAGTATCATAAATAGTATAGATTTATGTCAGAATAGTATAAATACGGTTTGTTTGTTCTATATTTCATGGCATATGTTTGTATATTGTGACAGAAGAGGGAAGTTTCTGTTATTCTCAATAGTGTTTAGTCATATGTAGAATTAGTTTTATATTAAAAGGGGATATACTCTATGGAGAGTGATGCCACATAGGCAAATTTAATCAACCAATCATATGTTTTGGGCTTCAATTTGTGTATTGATCAATCAGATTGATTTCTTTTGTTTGCCTATTCAGCCCAATATCTGAATCACCCAGTAGCCCTACTTGGACGTCACTCTCGCAATCAAATTCTTTGATTTTTCTTTGTTCTTCTTCGACATCAACACTACTCCGTCTTTTTACCTTCTCCTTCTTCAGGAAAAATCTCCATAAAATGATAGTATGCGGTAATTTGTGTCTTTACAAAATACTTTAGTTCCATTTTTTATCGATCAAAATATGATTCTTTTTGTTATTCTTTTGTAGTTTGTATATGTCAAGAGAACAAGTGATAGATATTTTATTTATTTACAAGGAAAAAAACAAATAATGTATTATGGAATTTACTTAATTGAAACGACTTAGAAATAAAACTCCTACAATTCTATACAAAGCGATTTAAAATAATGTTTTGTACAAAATATATATTACACTTTTGAAATTAGCAAAACATTAAAGGTAATATTTAATATTTCTCTAAGTTAATCAATTCAAAACTTACTTTACCTTCCTATTATCTAACCTCCATTCTTAACATTTTTCAGACATTAACATTCACTTTCTACAATGGTAACTAAGTAATTTTAGATTGATTCAATTTCTCTTAATTTTGGTTAATGAATACGCGAACGGATTTTAGTTATTATTATAATATATAATTTTTCTGAACTTATAATATATTACTGTAATACATACATTTTTTATAGAAAATCACATTTATTGTTTTTGTTTTGGTTGAACTAAAGTTTATTTGGTTTGTTTAGTAGTTTATCTAAGAGGTTGGTTTTAATTTATAATCAGCCATTTTTTTTTTGAAAAAGGTATAGCCACTTTGTTGTGCTCCAGTGTGTTCTAATATTGATGATATGAAATTAATTAATCTAAATGTTTATTTTGTTACAAAATAAAATAAAATTTAATTATTAGTTTTTTTCTCAGAATCTTGTGCGGGTGATAAAAAACTTGTGCAGCTAAGGAATGTGATGTAAATGAGTCATGGTCCATGGGTTGATCCAATCCAAATTGACCCATTAACCTAAATGAACTGTTTATTTTTGATCCAATGGGTTAATGGGTTAACATGTTAATGGGTTAACAAGTTAATGGGTTAACAAGTTAATTGGTCTATTGGGTTGGGTCAATCCTCACCCATTTAGTTGTTAATTAAAATCAAAAATTTAAAACAAACCAATTAACTCCAAATTAAAGTTGTCCAGTCGGACTGACCCATCACGTTTTCCCGCCAAAACCGCAAAACCACGTTTTCCCGCCAAAACCGCAAAACCACGTTTTCCCGCCAAAACTGTAAAATCATGTTTTCTTGCCAAAACCACAAAACCATGTTTTCCCGCAAAAACCGCAAAATCACGTTTTCCCGCCAAACCCACAAAATTATGTTTTTCTGCCAAAACCGCAAAATTATGTTTTCCGCCAAAACCGCAAAATCACGCTTTCCCGCCAAAACCGTAAAACTACGTTTTCCGCCTAAACCACAAAATCATATTTTCCCGCAAATTAGTTAAATCATGCTTTTTCGCCAAAACCGCTTAATCATTTCTTGCTAAAATCGCAATATGTTTCCCGCAAAAATCGCAAAATCATTTTTTCCCGCCACCTAAAATTATGTTTGACACTGTTTATATTAATTAGGCTCCGCAAAAAGCACATTTAAAATTTTCAATTTTAGATTTGGACAAAGATGTTGGGTTGATGGGTCAACCATTAACCCATTTGAACCATATAATTTAATGGGTCATGGGTCAACCCAACCCATTTATTAATTAGGTTGGGTTGACCCATGATCCATTAACAATCAATCCATTTGAGTTATGGATTGGGTTGACACATTTGACCCATTTTGACACCCCTAGATGTAATATTGGGCAGAACAAAGTCAAGGTGGAAAAGAGATGTTCAAATGAGGTATTTAAATGACACCTAAAATATGTCACAAAACAAACCAATTCTAAATTTACATAAAAAATTCTAAATTTATATTAGTCAATCTATAAAAATAGATACATTGCCATAATATAAATATTCATCAAAAATTACAAATAAACTTATATATCTTATTCAAAGTTTTAAGGAAATTAAAATAAAAAATTGGAGTTTCAGATAAATAGAAAAAAACTTCAATCTACTTTTCTCATGTTTTCATAGACGTGATAGTTTTTTTCTCATAATTATCATCTTATTTTTAAAATTCATGTTTTCACAAAAAAATAAATTATCTAATTATTAGAAATTATGGAAATTTAAGATTTGTTTTAAATAGTAAATTAATAAAATAGTTAACATAACTGTTAAAAATAAAATATAAATAGTTAAAATATATAATCTGCGCGTAGTGCGGAAAATGCATCTAGTTAACTTAAGAACTCTTATAAATATATAGATATTTGGACTATTGTAAAGGAAATATCTTACATGTGATTGTGCAATATGTATATTCTCCTTTATATGTAATGGTGCAATGTGTATATAAATGGAATAGATCATGGGCATGTACAAAAAAGATCATACATGTGAAATGAAATATCATAGTATATTTGCTACAACAATAAAACTTATGGAAATTGTAAAACTCAATTCTATCATTTCGTTAACTACACTCATACAAGTGTAAAATCAACACTAACATTATTGTGAAAATTCTAGATCATGATTTTCTTTTATTAGAAATTTAATTATTTGACAAATTTATTTTCAACACTAACAATTTTTTAAGTACTATTTATTCATTTTTAGACCTTCTCAAAAGAGGCATTGTTTCTAAAATACAGAACAATAAAAACATAAACTGACAAAAGGTGATAAAGAGAGATGAAACACATGTGCAACATAAAGTACAATAACTTGAGGGAAGATGAAGCTGATCGGTGTTTATGAGGTGAAGTGTTGAAACCAGGTGTGCAAGAATGTGTCTGCAGTATTTGGTCTGGTTGATTGAAGCATGCTGGTGTTCCAAATGTTCTGATCCATACCGTATAACTTTGCTTTCAAAATGATCTGAAGCTCCTTGATAATAAGCTGACGGGGTCTAGCCACCGATTAATGAAGCCTCTTGTTTCTTTCATTCCATATCGCGTAAAGTACAGCTTGTGTAATTAGCTTGCAAATTGTTCTCACTTTACCAGGTGGAGAAGAGTGATGAACCCATCTGATAACATTGTCAAATCTATGAGGCTGATTATAACTTTGTTGACTGAAAAAAGAATCCCAAACGTTTTTAACGAAGGGGCAAGAGAAATAAATATGATCTCGTAATTCATCGTCTACACCACAGAGAGCAAGCCCGTTGGAGGGACACTCATTCCCCAACTGAGAAGCCTATCTCTCGTAGGAAGTCTGTTTCTAACCGAAACCCAAGCATGAAAAGACTGTTTTGGAATTCCTTGTTTGAACCAAATAGAGTTATACAATGGGACTGTAGAAGGAGACGGATACAAAGCTTCATAAGTTTTAGAAACTGAGAATTGGCCAGGAACGTTATTCACCGAAGAGCTCCATAAGAAATAATCATGAGTTTCAGGTAGTAGCTGCGGTGGTTAGACAGGTAGGCACGCACGAACAACTGAATGATTCTGTGTCTGCCGCTCGTCAATGTCCAAGCCTCTTCGCTAATAGCTTACGAAACTAAACTGAAAACTGGGGTTCCCGAGACTCTAGGACCATTAGGCCCTGTTATCTCGATTAGTGGGTCCAAGCCAGTCCAGTTATCATGCCAAAACAGTGTTGTATCTCCAGATTGCACAATAAAAGACAGAAACGAACGAGCCACCTGTCTCAGATTCATAAGTCTTCTCCATATCCAAGATCCGGAGCTAGAAAAATCAGCATCCCAAACAATCTATATCCAATGATGTTATGCTTTACCCAAGCCACCCATAAACATCCAGTTGCCGCAAAAAGCAGCCAAATTAACTTCAAACCAAACACTTGATTAGAGCCCTCAAGACGTCGCAAGCTGAGACCACCTGCCTTCTACGGGGTACAAACTGACTCCCAAGATACTTTTTATCCTCGAGCAGAATCCGTGTCTCCCATCCAAAGAAAAGCATTACACAAACTCTCAATGGCTTCGATGCATCCTTTAGGCAGAGGAAAAACAGATGCCCAAAATTAAACATGCCATACAGAATAGACTGAATAAGCTGAAGACGTCCAGCGAATGAGAGATTTTCTGATGGTCCATGACTTGATTTTCTTCTTAAATCTGTCTAACAATGGTTAATAATCATGCGGGCTGAGCTTATGAGGCAATAAAGATAAGCCTAGATATTGAACAGGTAGATTTCCTTGAGTTAACCCGAAAGTAGCTGCCATTTGTCTAGATGTTAAAGTGTTCGCACCATCAATAAATAATCCTGTTTTAGAGAGATTAAGGCGCAGACCAGAACCAGAGTAGAACTCATTAAGCAGCTGAATAATTCCTCCCAAAGATGCCGTAGAACCATAAAAAAAAATTAGCATATCATCAGCAAAGCACAAATGGGCTACCAGAGGATAAGAACATTGAGGATGAATCCCAAATAGCCTGTTTTGCGCTGCTCTATCCAGAACTTTATATAAAATGTCCATAGCCAACACAAAAAGAGAGGAAGAGATAGGATCTCCTTGCCGTAAGCCTTTCTTCCCAGGAAAATAATCCAATAAGCTCACCATTAAATGCAACAGAACAGTGTGGAGATGTTACACAGCCTCGAATCCATTGAA